TGAGTGAAAGTGAGTGAAAGTGAGTGAAAGTGAGTGAAAGTGAGTGAGAGTGAGAGTGAGAGTGAGAGTGAGTGAGTGAGTGAGTGTGAGTTGGTGTGAGATGAGTTGTTTGAGTTGGTGGTAGCCGGGTGATATGCAATGAAAAAGTAAGAACCCCACATAAAGTTGTGGGGAGTGAGAAACTTCTCCTGCCTGAATTTTCCTGCAGGCACCACCTGACTTCCAACAATGACCATGACTCAAACATCTTTCAAGAACGAGAAATCCCATTCTGCCCAGAAAAATGGTTTGCAACGAGTGGCAACCAAATGCGATCATCCTCAAAAGCGGCTCCAACCAGTCATGGTTCGGAACATAGACCAGTCATGACCAGTTGGGCCAGGGGATCTCCCCCCCCACATCTGTTGTGCTCTTCCACACCTTCCGCACCACCTCGGTGCCTCTTCCGTTCCCAGTCCGCGGGGCTCACGTGGAGCTTCGCCAGGAAGGCGCTGCGGAAGCTGAACCTCGCTTCGCCCAGTCCATTCTCTCGTACGACACGTCTTCGGACACTAGGCTTGGTTGGAGGCGCTACGAACGTGGCAAGAAGCTACGTTTTTCTACTGCAGCATGGGCTGTGTGGATGCTGTGGGGATGGCAAAAGAGGTCGATTTAGGTCACGCAGGTTGTGAACATACGTCCAACTCAGGGGCCACGACAGGCCATGCTGTTTGCCATGCGGGAAAAAACACGGTGGAATGGCCGGTGGTCTGGATCAACATTCTCAGGCTCTCAGACATGTTCGCAGGCCCTCCTTGAGAGGGAGGTGTTGCTCGCAGGCCCTCCCCCAACATCGTCAATGTTGGAAGGTCAAACGCCTTATTCTGCACGCCATATTCTGTATTTTGCAGGCCGGAGGATCGAATACATATCCTATTCAACAGGTTGCCTAGGCCCCTAGCTCCTGAATTCTATTAGACCGGTAGCTAAGGGCTATACAAGGGCCATCTATACATAGCGTGCATCACTTTACATAAAATTATGTACAGTAAATCTAGCTGCTGACTGATATCTCACATCTTGGACCCTTTCGAAACTTCGCCGACATGGCTTCATCCGGACCGCCGTGAAGACTCGTTCCACATCTTCCAGACATCACATCGTCTCATGGGGCATCTTTCAGACATGTTCTGGATTGGTTATGACTAGAGGAAGACGAGAACCCCTTGCATACAAATATACTCGGAATAGTTCCTTGGCCTTCCATCATCCTTGGAGGATGTGCCTAATTGAAGCCCTCAAGCTCAAGGATGTTCCTCAAATCTCAGCCTTGTCAATAATTTCCTGAAAAGTAAAAAACAACAACCCTTCTTCGACATGGTGTTTTGCATTAAAGAAGGGACACCGGAAGACGTGACCGCTCAGTTCGACCCCTCCCAAACCCATTGGGCCGGTCACCCAAAATACCCACCCACATGGATGAACTGCAAGCAACATTACTAGTAGCGTCCGATCGCTCCGTTCGGTTCGCGATGCCCTTTGTAGCTCCGGAACTCGTCGCGAACCTGGTGGATGGTCCCATGATGTCTCCCTTGGTCGTTCCGGTTCGCCCAGGCACGAGACCCAATATGTTCCCTCGCTCGAGCGATGGAGTCGCAAGTCCTGCGGGTCGAAGCAGCGGTGCGACAGTTGCCCGGACGAGCCCGTCCTAAGGTGAGCGAAATGGAATGCTGCAAGCAATAGGAATCAAATTGGAAGGAATTGACCCCCCCCCCTTCCCAGAACGGTGTGGCTTCAAGGCGTCCGAACAAAGTGACTTCTAGCAGCGTTTCACTGGTTTTGCGAAGTCCATTTCCGGGCCGCCCTGACCTCAGGGCCTTCGATCGAGCGCTCAGCGAGGACTTCTCCGGCTTGAACCTGTCGAAGGCCATCGGCCGAAGCGGGACCCATGCATCGAAACGGGCTACGCACGGTGGCCATCGCTATGCTCGGTTGGGGGCCATCGCTACGAACGGAACAAGCTAAGAAGCAACTAGTAACTATAGTAACAAAGGGTGTAACAAAAAGTGATAACAACTCCCATAGGTCTTGATGGTGTTTGCTGACCGTGAGGACCATAGGGGCCCGGCAGGTCTACCTGAAACGGACTCCAAAGAGATAGAAATGGTGAATAACCATTTGAAGATTTGTATTGGAATTCAAAATACCATGTGAGGATCCCTCTGCAAAAATGACTATGATCCAAAGTCAAGTCCATCACCCTCATTGAACACTTGTTCGCCGCTGGATGGGGTCTTCCTAGCGTTCCACGAAGATCCCCTTTGGACTATTGGACAATTACTTATCTAGATGGTTTTGCATGTGGCAACAAATCTGCAGCTGAGCAAAACAACGAAAACGCAACCTCAGAACTGGTGCTGTTTTGGAAGAATGGACGAAGATCTCCGACGTATGCTACTCCGAAAACGTGGCTTTCGAACAGTCGTGCATGAAGCGATCTATAGCGATCTCCATCACTTCCTACACCGGAACTTGGGCCTCTTGGAAGCGCGCTGTGAAGCGATCCTTGGGGAACTCCAGGGCGGCTGCCTGCGCAACGTGTCTGCCTGACCTTCGGAAGGTCCCACACACCACCTGTGCTGCCTGAAAGCAGCATGGACTGGGAGACCTACAACTGCAACTACAACTCAGAAAAAGGCAGGAATCCACACCGACAAGGGCAAGAGGACAGTAATTACTGCCTTCAAAAGTCATCTTTGAATAAATCAACACGAGGCTTGGCGGCTTGGCATGCTCTCACCATACCTCCACCTGCTCTACCTGAATCACGTCCAATGAAGTCCTCCAGTCTCGCCTCCAGCAACGTCCAATTCCGCAGCAGCGCCACGATCGGCCGATTGTACTGCTGCCCCTGCGCGGAGGCTGTCGGCAGCACCATGTGGTGGATGCACTCAGCAGCTGCTGCGGATGGACCGATGCTGAACCGAAGCAATATGGATTATACAAATGTTCCAGTGGCTGGAGCCACTGGCTGTTCGATGGAAACGGGATGAAACAGGCATTCGTCGCCCACCAGGGCTTTAGAGGGCCACATTTTGAGACGGCGAAGCAGTCCGACCCTGCTCCCATCGGCCAAGATTGGCCAGTCGTGGCTGGCGTCCAGATCTTTTATTTAGTGCATTTTAGTGCTACCTTCGCCAAACCCTGTGAATGCAAACTGGGTCAACTGGATTGAAGTGGCTTGACTAAGCGTCGAAATGATTGCGGAGCACCACATAAGCCGGGGGGGCCGGACACCTGCGGGGTTTGGTGCATGATGCTTCCTGCTCAAGACTGGTCTGGATCACAGAGAGAAAGAGGACTGTTTTCCCACTGAATGGTGATTGGTATGTTCCGCACATTTCGTGCGGTTATGACTCATAGCGGATTCTTGTGTGTCGATGAATGACTTTAAAACAAGAGTGGGACACTCCCTGTTTTCACTGACAATGTCCATGTTGATATAGTGGGACAAAATAGCTGATAGCTTTGCTCAAACTGTCTACAAACATCATCTCAATTCATACCAGTATGATCTGTATGGCCCAACCACCGCAAAACCCCGACTACTTTCGCGTCTCCAATCCCGTAGTGTCAATACCCGCCTGTGCCTTGTGGTGAGGAACCTCATTCGATGCATCCCAAAGCTTTGTTCAAAGCTCCCGCGGTTCAAAGCTAATCGGTGAAATTGCCAGAAACCAACGCATGACGCATGTGTTCATTGCTTGGAATGCAGGCTTCACATGACATGTTTCGCAAGTTCCGTTTCGGGAACAAGCCGATATCCTTCAATGAAGAAGGGGGCCAAGAGCTGGAATCTTCCAGGTTGATACAGAGGATGGGCCAAACAAAACTATAGTGATGTTCAGTTGACTGTTCACATCTGATACAGTAGGTGGGTGTGCTTTTGTGATCTTGTGTGCACCGTCTTTGCCAAACCGAAGACGGCTTGAGGCCACTTGGCTCACCCCATGGGTCACCGAAAGCAAGTGATCAACTCTCCGAAGAGCTAGTCAGACCAACTAAAGAGTTCTTCTCCCAGCACGAATTCTTTCAGAACTCTTCTAGTTGAATGACCAAGATCTGGTTAAATGACCAAGCACTCTTGGCAGAAGATGCCTTAAACACTTGGCCAGCCAGACCCAGTCAGACCCGGGCCACTGGGTCACTCCCTCAAAACGGTGCTCAGAGCCGGACGTGCGACCAATTCCCATCCCAGCCAGACTCCGGGCAGTAGTGCCTCGGGCCATCGGACGGGTAGTGTTCAACCTGTTTATCATGATACAGCTGACTAAGCTGACTGAACAATTGAAAGCTGTGGCCACAACTCGATGCTAAAAATGTGACACCAACAGCGACTTTGTCAACAATCAGCATCAACAGCTATAAAATGGATGCATCATGATGCATCTAGCCGTATGGGCAATCTTGTTTCCAGGGGGGCTTTGATCTACTAGCCCCATCTAGTCCCGACCTGTGCATTTGTTAACAAAAGATCTATCATTCAGCGAATAAACATGGAAGTGGAAGAGACCTGCTACTTCCAGCAGTGTACCCACCGGCGACCTACTTCCAGCATCATTGCCAGCATCGTCTGTAGGACATGTCGTCGCCAAAGGTCGCACGAGGTCTGTGGAAAGTTATTGTTGCGTGTCTCTCTCCATACTCGCTCACCGCGCACCGGGTGCCCACCAGGGTTGGTCCACCCTCCCATCTGCGCCCTCCGGCCAGTTGGAGGCACGGAAGACTGCGAGCCAAGTGCCTTCGGTGGGTCCCTCAGGCCTTAGTCGCTCGATGGAAGGGACATTTGATCCATCCTTATCCATCCTTCACCTTTCTTATCCTTTTTTAGCATTGCTCCACCAACTCTGTGATCGACAGCAATAACTCCATCTCGTCGCTTCTTTCCGAGCGTGTTGACGCGAATCCAGATCCAGACCCGGGTGCATCTTCGCTGAGTCACCCAGACCCCGGCGCCACTGAAGGGTTGTAAAGGCCTGCGCCGAAGCGGCGCGCCTCCTGAGTGAGTCGCAGCGGGGTGCCAAGACCCCCAGAAGCTTGGGAGCTGGCATAGGACTGCCAATCAGGCCAGGGGTGGTGCCAGGGGGGTCAATGTAGGCACATATTATCATATATGGCATTCCCATGGAGTGTATGGGATATGATAAACATTGTCAAACTGCTGCGGTATCTCTGGAGGAACACCCAGTAATGCAAGAACGCCCGATGGAAACAGTCGACGACCTGATGGGAACATTTGACCCACGCGTTGGCAGGATTGGAGAATCGATGAGAATTGATTGGTTTTTACATGTTTTTACGCTGCCATTGGGGCTTGATGCAGTGGGGCTGAGGACAAAAATACCATCCGTCCCTTCTCAAGCAATCCACACCTTGGGGAAGAGGCCCTGGATGCATCCGCTGCACCAGGCGTCCTGGAACTGGACCCACAGGGGAAACATCTCTGGCAAAACAAGGCATAGACTCAATCCCCCGCTGCTGAGTTGTCTCCCCCTCAATATGTTTGGTGAACACTCACCGTATACCAGTACCCAAAGCCTCAGTCGGAGGCGCGTCATTTGCTGCTTGAGTCTCTTCACAAGCGAGTGGCTAGCCGCTTGGCCTTTTCCCCAACTCATTCCTGGCATGCCCATGTTTCACCCATGCATGGCCAAAAAGGATGACTCCACCTTCACATCATGCCCATCAGGGTGAAACTCAATGGTTGCATTGGTCTGGGGCCCTTGTGTAGGTTCGTTCCTCTTGTCATTGGCTCGGGCAAAGAAAATCTGTATATAAGTCTTCAAACAAAGCTGCAGCGAATCAAGGCGGAGTCGTTGGCCGAGTGCGGGACTCCGCTACAGCGTTTGCAACTGTTCCACCACTCTGGAAGGGAATGGCACCAGTATGCACCATCAACAAGACTGGATGAGTCAATGACACCAACCCACTTGAGTCAACCCCTTCAGGACCGTTACACCAAGCAGCACGCGTCGTCAGCGCGCCACCGGCGCGGTCTGCGCACGTCTGCGCCTCAAGACGCTTGAGTGGAAACCTTGGCTTCGATGGCTCTGATGAAACTGTCAAGACGGCTGAATGAATGACTGTAGCTGACCAACATATACCAACATCGATCGCCTCAGACACCTCCTCAAGAAGGATTCAGACTTTGGTTTGTAAAAAGTGCTTCAAAAGAGTACTTTTGATCCAAGATTTTGTTCTGCCTATCTGGGTCAAAGGCGATGCAGTGCGGGACATGAGCACTAACTCACGAGCTTTATCGCCGAACCCTTGGAGCTATTCTTGTAGTTGGAGAAGTGACAGTCTGTGCACCTACTGCTGCAATCCCAAAAACACTTCTCAATAAAGACCTTGATCTCCGGCTGAAAAATCGCTTTGCTTCACCCAACTTCACCCCATTGATCTATGATCCGTGAAAACCCGATCCTTTTTGGCAGATCCCTCAAGCCCCTGCTGTTGGGGTCGGGTGCCCAAAGTGTGATGAAGAATGCCACGCTGGTCCACTCCGTTCTTTTTCATTCATCACAAATGAATCGTGCGAGAGCTATCCTGCGTCCATTCGCTAGTAGCAGCTTACCTAGTAGTCGGTTTAAACCCTTACTTTAGCCCTTACTTAATTATGTGCCTCGTTAGATGAAGTAAGGGTAACAACGTTGCAACTTGTTTGGTTGCAGTTCTGCTTCGACCCTCGTCGGTGTGCCGCTTGATGCCAAAAACACAAGACCTCATTACAATGATTTCTGTCTGAACCCTTTCCAGCTCCTTCTGGAGCTGAGGAACTTGAAAAGTCCCATAGATGTGAAAGGTTGAAACATGTTGAGAACCCATGGGACGTTTTGCAACGGTTCCCTTCTGCTCATCCATGAATTCTCAACCTCTGCAAAACATCGGAATGAAGTCCCTTTTTCAACATCTGGACTCTGGTCTTTGCCACGTGCTTGCAGTGCTCAGTCGGCAAGTCAAGGCCAGGGTTGAAGAGACTTGCTGACTCTTGGCAATTGCCCATACCATTGCATGGGGATACTATGGGGATGTGGTTGTTGTTGGTGGTGGCGGTGTTACTGTTGTTTGGCTGTTGGGAGGTGTTGCGATCTCTCTCACGCTGAACTGGTCTGCGGTGGGACAAGGAGCTGTTGCACGTCGCCCTCCAAAATGATCATCTTTGTCTGAGGAAGCCTGGGCTAAGCAAGGGAGATTATTCATCAACCGCATTTAACAATCATATATAGTCAGCATGTTGAATGTGCGTTTGCTAAAGCTACAATACCGAAGGAATCAACGTTTCTATGCACCAATTGGACTGGCAAGAATGCCAGGTGCTTCCCGCGCTTAGAATGACGACGCACACAGGTGGCAGCTCTTGGACCTTCTTGCCATTGTTGTTGGTCGGGCAAGCCAAAAAAAAGGTTGTTGTTGGTCTAGTTTGCACATGCCACACCGTGCAGCAAGTGAGCAAAAAAAAACAAGATGAACAAAAGGCTCAGTTCCCGCAATGAGCAAGTTGTGTTTTGGTCTCTTCTTAGTTTCTTCTCTTGTGCCAATAAACGGCAACAACCCATCAAGTCAATGCATATATTTGCTCGAAGCAAAATTGGACAGGAAAGGAACGATGCAAACTGATGAATAACAGCGACATCGGAATGTGTGTGATGAAATTCCAACTTTGGGGGTGACGGATGGTGACTGGAAACAGTTCTATAGAATCAAACATAATTTTGAAAACTACTAATTCTATAAGGAAGTTTATAGTTTATATTAAAGCCGTTTCATCAGTTGGAAGCCACACACCCTCAGCAGGAGAAGAAAGATCACTCCGCCCAGCCGCCAGCGGAGCCAATCGCTGGCGTTGGCGATGAGGCTTCGCGCCTTGGACGGAGTTTCCACGGACGGCTCGAGTTTCAGCAGTTCTCCTTCGTCGGGAGAGCCAGATGGGCCACCCTTCCCCGTCCGGTTGCAGTTCCTTGAAGGTGAAGACGGCACGTTCCTCAGGAATCCCTTCCCAGGTGCTTCAGGGCTTGTACCGAATAGCCTTTTCCCACTCACCAGCTCTTCGGATCATGAGCCACCAACCCTAGGAGTCCGGACGCTTTTTGACTCCGAGGGCCAAACTGCGACTCGAAAGACACTGCGTGGACTGGACGACAAGAACGGCCTCCGCCATCATCCAGTGGCTCTAAGAGGTGGTTGGCCTCCACAACAAACATACTTAAAAGCAACCTCTTCTAACGACGTGGTTGGTTGACATACGCAAAAACTAGATCCTAGGTTCACGCGGGGCGCTTGAAAACTCATTGCAAATTCTCTTTGATCTACGTCCTTCGGACGATTTCGTGCTGCTCTTCACAGGGTTCAGAGAATAGCAAAGGCCCTCAGCCCCACCGTACAGCTCTCACCACTTCTTGTGGAGCTGTCCGGCACCCCGCATCATCACCCCGCAGTGCTCGAAAAGGCCTCGAATCTTCGGTTCCATGCCATCAGACTGTCAAAAAAAAAGCACTGGCCTCCGCTGCATTTGCCTTGGAACAATCGCTGAAGTTGGGCTCCATGACTGCAATTCAGGAAAGTGCAGCGGCGTTGAAACATATCACATTCTCTTGCAGGTGTCAACCTGCTTACGGACCGGACAGGCTTCCAAAGTGCCAACCCCTTCTGGGGTCATTCTTTGATAACCTATTAACTCTTGATAAAAATGGTCTTCGGGCGTTTGGCAGTTCCTCCTCGCAGCTCCAGACTACTTGGCCCAGAGTGTCGAGGGTGTACTTGGCTCAGACGATCTCCAGAGCCATCTTCTAAGACAGCTCTCTACGCGGGATCAACGAGCGAAGCAGAAATGGTCTGGGCCGTTTCCTCGGAAGCCAAATGAACGTAAGGTCTAATGTAGATTGCTATTGAGTTGGAGGTCATCGCAAAAGGGAGTTGGAGGCCATTGCTTGTAGGTTGGAGGCCATGGCTTCTAGGTTGCAAGCCATTGCTTGTAGGTTGGAGGTCATCGCTTCTAGATTGGAGGCCTTTGCTTGTAGGTTGGAGGCCATCGCTTCTAGGTTGGAGGCCATCGCTTCTAGATTGGAGGCCTTTGCTTGTAGGTTGGAGGCCATCGCTTCTAGGTTGGAGGCCATTGCTTCTAGGTTCTTCTTTATTGAGCACCCAGTGGCCCAACTGTGGAAAACGGCCGAGACCTCTGGAAAGGGACCCCCAAAGGACCATTAGCAGTGAAATGGTCTCCAGGGGTGTTTCCGGGATTCGGTTCTTAAAATCTTGGTGCGGCAAATGGGATTAGCAATTCTCACTCTTATGTCTTCTATTGCAGTCGTCCACTCTCAGTGGGCAAAACCGCTGATATACCCCGCAACCGATTCGATCTCATCCCATCCCTCTCAAACCGACACAGAGCTCCTCTGCTCAGCTGAGCTCCTCTGGGCGAACACGCCCGGCACCCGGCAACCTCGCAGCAATCCGGCCGTACCAATCCATACGGTATGAACACCAAACACGAGGAGAACGTCGCGGCCAAAAGTGGCTCAAAACTGCCAAAAGCAGGCAGGATCGTTAGATGGTTGGGTGATGTTTCTGGCTGAACCTCTCGTGCCAAGATGTTTCGAAGTTAGGAGTGGGATGAAGATTGCGCTGGTCTATTTGATGATGTGTTGTTAGCGTTTCTGTATCTTTCTGTCCTCTATCGCCGCCCAGCTGGCAACCGCGAGAATTAACCCGTGTGAGGCGACTAGTTGAAGAAATCACAAAAAAGTGTGTAATAGATCTCCCATTGGATCCCTCTACAGAACAAACCCATGGTGGAACCAATCGGATCTACAAACTCAAGCAAAAATCAATCCCCGATTGGGACCGATCAGACTCGGCTGTGTGATCACTCGGCCTGTCAAAGAAGCGGAGAGGGTTTCCAAAGGCGCCGATGTTGCCAAGGGAGGCCAAACTGGAACGCTTTCCTCCAGCTTCCATCCTCAGGTGCTGTCGATCACGGATTGAAGGGCCAGCGCTGAGGTGGGGTGAGGGGTGATCGCACGAAGTGCAAACATCCCAAGTGCCTTTCCTTGACTTGGCCTTCCTTTCCTTGGTGATGTACAAAAGCGGGGCAACGATCCAAGAAAAGCGCTTCAGTTTCTATCTGGACATGTAAGCAATTTCAACCTTAGACACACATCAAACAAGTAGGGCCGGATTCGAGTTTCGCCAGCTGATCTCCCACTGGACACAGTTGCACATATTCGGAGTCTTCTCGCTTTTTGAAATCGACTCAAACAGAATATGATATATTATATATTACCTATTTTAATTTAATTACCTATATTTTGTTTTCAAAAATTCAAAATGATTACCTATATATTAATTATATATCGTACGTATATAATTCATGAAAATTTCATGACCTATTTTGTTTTCAACGATCTACTGATGAAGTTGCCATTGCGTAGAAGTTTGGTATGGTCAGCTGATTGTTGCCGTGTGTCCGTTTGTGGAGGACAAGCCCCATAAATACTAGAATTTACTAGAGGTGTGCCCAAACTAGTAACCAACCGTTAGAAACGGATGGCCTTGTCTCCGGCTAGTTCATTCAACTTCTACAACAACCCCAAAACCCCAATCATCCACCACCCCCAAGCAAGGTAAGCTATCTATAGCTTACTTGGCTTAAGCCTGAGCTTCTCGGTGATCCCCAAGTCGTTCACATTCTGCGCCACGTTCCTCACTGCGTCTGGGTGCCACGGGTCCCGGAACACGTCGAACCGCGAACGGTGGGCTCTCCACCACGGGGACCACTCTGGCGAGAATCAGAGCGCCAGCGTACTGAGCAGCCGCCCCCCGTGCACTCTTGCACTTCAACCCCGGTGAACGAACTGCTGTATGATGAAGCATCGAAGAATCATGTCAAAAGGGGGTACGAGTCACATCCAATGCCAACATGCTTCTTGGACGCGAATGTTCGGAGGGAATGGCAGCACAGCTGCGACAGTTCTTGGCGCACTTGATACACTTCCATTTAGTTCAAAACGCACATTGTTCTTCTACTGAGCAGTGCAGAGATGTTTCCTTTTTTCAAACTGATTTTTAAAATGCCTATGCAAAGGCCACGTCGCCTCGCTAAAGGGTCGCTGCGAAGCGGAGCAAGCCGTGAAACATCCCACGAGGTCAGACATGTCGCCTACTCGAGCCCATGAAGCGGATATAGAGCTTGCTCGAAAAGAAGCACATATATCTGGTAAATTCTGGGAATTCTCAAAAAATGTTTGAGTCGTACCTGTACTTCACCCCGTTGACATCCACAGTAGATACATTTTGGCTCAACAAAAAAAAGGGGCCAAAGAGCTTTACGCGAGTTCAAACAGTGTTAAAATGATCTATTGCCGTAAATCAAAAAAGGCAGTGATCTGACAAAATCAACAAAATGTCGCAGGCATCCCTCCAAGTGTCAGCTTCTCCACATAAGCGGTGGCATAGTGATGGGCACGAACTTGCATGCTTGTTTCACCCGAGATGATGTTGCAGAACTCCTCTGCCGCATTGCACAAGTATTTCTGATGGCACAAACGAGAACGCGTGCCTTTAGATGTGGCCAACACAAATAAATGGTTCTTAATATGTACGTAATATGTGTGCTGTGTATATATATATATACTATATTATACATATTACATGATATTACATATTACGTATAATATCATGACACCAGCTAACTAGGCACCAGTACACTGGCCCCTTATCACCCTTTTTCTTGAGTGCCTTTCTGCATGTTCTCCTTGGGAGAACTTCAGCTCACTCGCTGATTCCAGAGGATCGGAGCATGCGCCCATGTAGGTGGGCTACCTTTGGGGGAGATCGTTCGGAGTACCTACTCAACACCTGAACACATGGGGTGCTAACGGTGCTAACCATCATCTGACTGACTCGTGACCTCAGCTAAAAAACTGTGGCATCTCTAACCATCATCTCAAAAAACTGTGTGTTTCTGCCCATCACCACCCCCATCTCCGTCACGTGGATGGCCAAAACCTTGCAGAAACTGTGGCACATCAAATCGCCTCGGACGGTAGCAAGCCAAAGCAAACAACAAACAACATGTGGAATTCGTATTGTCTGCTTGTAAGGCAAAGTCATGCAAGAGACGTCCCAACCACGTGCGTTTGAGGAACTAGTACCTAGGGGCGCTGTTCGCGACCCGATGGCCAAATTGCATGTGTGTGTGTGTGTGCTCCATAGGACCTTATTAAATTGCCTTGCACTTCGTTCACGGACATCGTTGGGAGGGATAATAAACTCTCCTTGCGCAGAACGGCATCTTAGTTGCTCACAGCAGTCACATGTTTCGGGAGCGAGACCTCGATCGGTTTCAGCATTTCGCTGATGTGCAATTTGAATCAATTTGATGTTTCGCTGATGCTTCAAGTGATTCTGATCGCGGATCTGTCTTAATGAATGGCTTTACGTGTGGCTTGATTTAACGTGTGTTGATTCAACGTTTGTCGGAACCCCTGTGGTGTCCGAAGAGCCCCGCTCGGTCCCTTAGCTCGGACGGACGCTTGCCATGGGGACGACGTTGCCTCATTAGAACGAGGCTCTTCCAATTACTTCATATACATGTCGTGTCGCGCAAATACCTCGCCCGCAAAGACATTGGGAGCCAAAGGTGTTTTGAAACTAGATATCAATCTATATCATGTTGCACAAGGCACGCCTCCCCGTTTTTTGGTCCCGACCACATGCAACCACCTTGTTTGAGTGTTCTGCAAAAAAAATGGCCCCCCCAAAAAACAAGGAGGCCAATGCAACCAAGGCACCAACGTGAGTCCAGGTGCTCCACAAGCACATCTCCGCAATCCAGGAATCGTCTCGCAACGATGGAAAGCTCGACG